TACGCGTTTCTACTTCGCCTCCCGTCGGAAGCGCTGGTCACCCAACGGGCCGCCTCGCTCGACGACGCGTCGCATTTACGCGCGGGCCTTTTCATCAGCGAAGAGGCGGCCGTCTTATCGCTCGCCAGACGGAAGAACCGGGAAAGACGGACAACTATTGTGCGCAATTGCTGGTGTCAGCGCTCACGCGCCACGTGCCCCGTACACGCTCTCGGCGCGCGGTTCAACTCGCAGTCCGTTGGAGAGGCCCCGTGGGCGGGCTGGTGCGCCACGGGTGCACGTAACGCGCTGCGGTCGGCACTGCGTCACACGGGAGTAGTTAACGCCGACGCCTACGGCACCCGCTCGTTCCGTCGGGGCCACGCCCAAGACATTGTGGAGTTCGGCGGCCGAGTCACCGACATCCTGAAGGCAGGTGACTGGCAGATGCCAGCTTGGATGCGCTATCTTGACGTTGAGAAGATGGAGCGCCAGGCCGTCGCCGAGGCGCATTTCGGCGCGTCGTCCAGTGACGACGAGGGTGGGCATTCGGAAACCCCCGGCGTCCAGCGACGTCATTCCACGCTTGGTCGGTGCAAGTAACGTCGCGCCAGGCCCCTTCGCACGCTCGTTCGCCCTCGTTCGGTCCATCGGTCGCTCTCTTGCGGGCCACGCGTCTGCGGCCGTCTCTCCGCCTGGCATTGGGTGGCAGCGTGCCTGCGGGTGCCGCAGGCCCGCTGTGTGGAGCAGCGCTCGGCCTCAGCCCCTGGGTCCGTGGCAGTGGGTATGGTACCCATGTGCTTCGGCCTGCGCCCTGGCGCGCCAGCCGCCTGTGTCGTTTGATGCGGTGGGCTGGCGTGTCGGCTGTTGGCGCACGGCCGCGGCCTCACCCAACGTTGTTTGGGTGCCGTATCCCCCCTCTGGGTGGCATCGCGGTCGAAAGTCGCCGCGAAGGAGACTTATGGGGCAGTAATAACTTGTTATTGTAAGTCATAAGTCGACGCCCCCAGGCGGGAGTGTCCCGCCGTCGGCGCACCGCGCGACGGCGGGCGCCCGCGTGCCCACCCGCCACGCGCCGCCGCTGCGTCGGGCGGGCCAGGCCCCGCGCGGGCATGCTGGCGTGCCGCGCGGCCGTGCGTCGGGGTCCTTCCTCCCTCCGCTCCTCCGCGCACGGTCGCGATGTCTCCTCTTTGCCGCCTGGCCGCGGGGCGGGATATCAAGCACCCGGTCATGTCTGTAGCGCCCCACCTGCCTAGTGTGCACTCTTAAAGGTGGGGCGGCTGGCCGGGGTGTGGTCCTCTGTCTGCCAGTGTGCGGCTCTGGACCGACCCTGGGGGCGACGCGCGGGGCGTCCGTTCGCCAGAGTGCGTCGGACGCGACCGCGGTCGCTCTTCTTTTCTCCCACCCACCACCCTCGAGGGGGGGCGCGGTGCCCATGTGCTTCGGCCTGCGCCCTGGCGCGCTAGCCGCCTGTGTCGTTTGACGCGGTGGGCTGGCGTGTCGGCTGTTGGCGCACGGCCGCGGCCTCACCCAACGTTGTTTGGGTGCCGTATTCCCCTCTCTTGGTGGCATCGCGGTCGAACGTCGCCGCGAAGGAGACTTATGAAGCTCCACCGAAGGACCCAGTAGCTGCGCTCGCATGCGCCCGCCGCCGCACACATGTCGGAACAGCTTGAAAAATACGCTTCGTGGCCCCATAGGGAGCTCCACCGAAGGCCCCAGTGGATGCGCTCGCATGCGCCCGCAACCCCCATTTCGGCACGCCCCTCACACGGTTCGTGGCCCCAGAGGGAGCTCCACCGAAGGCCCCAATGGCTGCGCTCGCATGCGCATGCCGCACCAATGCCAGCACACCCATCACACGTTTCGTGGCCCCACAGGGAGCTCCGCCGAATGCCCCAATGGTTGCGCTCGCGCCCGCCCGCCGCATCCATTTCGGCACACCCCTCACACGTTTCGTGGCCCCACATGGAGATCCACCGAAGGCCCCAGCGGCTGCGCGCATGTGCACGCCGCACGCATTGCGGCACACCCCTTACACGTTTCGTGGCCCCACAAGGGGGCTCCACCGAAGGCCCCAGCGGCTGCGCTCGCATGCGCCCGCCGTACTCATTGCGGCACATCCCTCACACGTTTCGTGGCCCCATAGGGAGCTCCACCGAAGGACCCAGTAGCTGCGTTCGCATGCGCCCGCCGCACTCATGTTGGCACACCCCTCACACGATTCGTGGCCCCATAGGGAGCTCCACCGAAGGGCCCAGCGGCTGCGCTCGCATGCGCCCGCCGTACTCATTGCGGCACATCCCTTACTCGCTTCGTGGCCCCACAGCGAGCTCCACCGATGACAATACTTTCAATGGCGTTGCTCACAAATGCATATGGTTGGGTCCTTCGCCTGGCTAATTGTTGTGAGTGTCGAGTTTCGAAGTGTGTGGAACGTGTCTATCCCTTCCTTGGCCGTTCTGGAGGCTCCCGGGGAGCGAGAGATGCCAACATCTGTTGAGACAAAGTTCAGCGATCGACGATGTTGGCTGCTCGTGGCGATCCCCAGAACCTTCAAGACGGCATGAGGGTCCCGAGACGGGCCCATGCAGACACCTTCGGGCAACATGGAAGTTTGGATGTCCAACCGATGTCCCCACCAGTTTGGACAAGTCACGTGGGAGGCCTCGGAAGCGCCCAGAAGCGGGCGAGACAGCCCAGGAATCGGGGGGCCTACGGCTTCGAAAAAGCATGAACAGTCGTGACACGGTGGCGGACATCGACCGGCATGCATGTACACTGGTGATACTATAAGCTTGGCCGTGGCTTGTTGTATGTACCCCATTCCGCCTCAGAACCTTGACGTGGATTGCGTTTTTCGCTCGGTGGCACCGAGGTCGTGGAGGCCGCACCCTGCGAACTAGCCGTACTTTGAAAGCGTGCGACGGGGAATCATTGTGGCCACGTCGAAAATGTCTTAACTATTATGTGGCTCGTCTTCGTCATCAGCGGCCTGATCATTTTCAGGGTCACCGTCGTCAGGGTCAGCGGGCATAAATAGTTATAATACTCGCAAGTCATACACGCATGTCCTTACGCGTCCGCGAGCTTTTTTTTCGCACGCATACATGAATGTCCACGTATGTATGCATATGCGTATGTTTGCTATTATGAGCACCGAATGATGTATTGCTTGCGTTCTGGATGTGTGCTATGTGGGGTGCAATGTTAGTGTTGCAGTTTATTTCGTGCAGTATATGCTGTGCAAGCTATGGGCTGAACATGATTTGGAACCATGTGGTGCAAGCCATGTGTGTTGTATGCTCCTTGGTCCAATACTTGTGAATCAGTCGATGTGGTGCCGTACGTGGCGTACCTCAAATGGTGCGCAAGCTATACTGTGCAATCGGTGGGGTACAAGCTACGAATCTACGTGATGCCGTCAATGTCGCGCAGTCGCGCAATCAATGTGCTCAAAGCTATGTGGTGCAATCTACACGGTGCAAGCTACGTCTTGCAACGCCAGCCAGCGGACGCGGCGGGCACGACGCTGGCCCGGGCATCCACTGGCCGCTAGTCCCGAATCGCCAGCCAGCGTGCGGGGAGGGGCACGAGGCTGGCAAGGGCAAACCCGGAACAGCAGGCACATTCTGTAGGGAAGAAGTAAGGCCGCATCAGTGCAAGCATAGTGTGTGTCTCTCTCTCTCTCTCTCTTTCTCCCCCTTTTTGTTCTCTCTCTCTCTCTATCTCTCTATCTCTCTATCTCTGTCTGTCTGGTTATGTTTCTGTCGGTCTGTCGGTCTGTCTGTCTGCCAGTCAGTCTGTCTGTCTGTCTGCCTGTCTGTCTGTCTGTCTGTCTGTCAGTCTATCTGTCTGTCTGCCTGTCTGTCTGTGTGTCTGTCTCTATTTTTTTTCTTTCTTTTTTTTTTTTTTTTTTTTCTCTCTCTCTCTCTCTCTCTCTTTCTCGCTCTTCCTCAACATGTGTGCATACATACGTATGTATACATGTACATGCATGTGCATGTAATACATGCATGTAGATATTATTAGTAATATATGTGTAAAGTGCACAGGGAGAGAGAAAGAGAGAGAGAGAGAGAGAGAGACCGAGGCAGCGAGGAAGAGGACAAGAACAACGAGGGACAGGTAGAGAGAGAGAGGGAAAGATAAATAGAGAGAGAGAGAGAACAAGAGAGAGAGAGATAGAGCAACAGCAAAAAACAGAGGAATATACTCTGATGCAATATAAGAGAAGAGGAGAAAAGAGGGGAGGAGAGATAGTGAGAGAGAGAGGTAGAGAGATTGTGGCAGAGAGAGAGAGAAGGTGATGATTCTTATTGCGATGGTGATGATTATGACGACGATTACGACAGTGATGATTAAGACGATCACGGTGACGATGATGATGACGATGATGATAATGATGATGATGATGATGATGATGCTGGTGATGATGTTGGGGATGCTGATAATGATGATGATGATGATGATGATGATGATGACGATGATGATGAATATGATGATGTCGATGATGAGGATGCCGATTGTGATGATGATGATGCTGATGATGATGGTGATGGTGATGGTGATGGTGATGGTGATGGTGATGATGGTGATGGTGATGGTGACGATGATGATGATTTTGATCATGATGAATATGAGTATGCGGATGAGGATGAGGACAATGATGATGATGATGATGATGATGATGATGATGATGATGATGATGATGTTGATTGCACCGACGACGATTTTGATGATACCGATGATAACTATGACGATGACGATGGTGATGATGCTGAAGCTGATGATGATACGGATGATGATGATGATGATGATGATGATGATGACGACGATGATGAGGATGACGATGATGATGATAATGATGCTTATCATGATGATTGTGATGGTGATGGTAATGGCGATGATGATGGTGATGCTGCTGCTGCTGCTGCTGCTGCTGATGATGATGATGATGATGATGATGATGATGATGATGACGATGGTGCCAGAGGGAGAGAGGTAACAGAGCGGGGCAGGAGAAGAGCCGCAGCCTCGCCACCACCGACATCCCCGGCGCTCAGGCTGGCACGCTGAAGCGTGGCCCGCAGGCCTCTGGGCCGGGAGAGACGAGTTCTGGCCCGAGCACCACGAGGGGGGAGCTGAAATGGTGCGGTACCGTTGAGACTTAACCGCCCTGTCTGTGGCGGCTACATCGGTTGATGGGGTTTGATGCCTCCCAGATTGTGTTTTCGGAGTTGCTTGTTTGATGGTTGGCCACGTGGCTTCTCACTTCAGTAGTCGGGGGTCTGATGTGTCAGCCAACGCCCGCAACAAAAGTTGATCGCAGATTCTGGTGGCTCTACATCCCCTTGGAAACATACAACACAAGTTAAAGCTCTTGCTATAAGCCACTCCCGTAACTGTGCGTGTGCCTTTTACGTGTGTCAAAACTGTTGGGCCCCTGCTTTGAAACTCCCTTGGGGCTCCTCAGTGGTTCCTGGACCCCCCATCGGACCCTGCCCCTCAAGGCAGCCTCGCCTTGGGTCCCCTCTTGTGGTGCCTCCCTTGGGGTTCCAGCTTGGAGCCGATGAGTAAGTAGAGAAGTAGGGCATGAGGCGACGGCCAACGCCGCGGTGCAATCTATGTGGTGCAAACCTTTTGGACCTGAGTAGGCGGGCTGCTGGCACGATGCAGCCAACAGGTGTGCGAACATCAACAGAGTAACACAACAGTTCGCACATGAACAGGATAACAAAACATCCAACCACCAACCGCGTAACCATTTTTTATCAAACATCGGCCTTTGCACTCGTGCACGTCATGGCGTCGCCTTCGCCCGAGGCGTGGCTGAGCGACGAGGCGTTCAGTCCCCTCAGCCTGCCGACGCCTGTGCTGGAGGAGGCGGGATCGCCCGCGCGGGCGGGCGAGGACGGCTGCAGCCAGGAGGACTGGCTAGAGGCGGCTGAGGAGCCGCCCGCGGAGGGCGGGGGTCAGCTCGTGGCGCTGGAGCCGCTGGCCGCTGTGCTGCCACCCGAGCAGCTGCCCGTGGCCGCGCCGCCGCTGGAGCAGCAGAAGGCCGCCACCATCGACCAGACCGATGCCATCGGCAAGGTGGCCAGCGTGATGGTTCGGCGGGTGTACCCCGACACCCAGCAGCCGATTGGCCTGGAGAGCGCCACGCGATTGGCCGAGCGTCTCGGCATCTTCGCGAGCCGCCTTCGCGAGAAGGTGTATGCCGTGGGGCACGCCGCCTGGAGGACAGGCCAGAGGCATGCTGCTGCCATAGTGCCGCGGCTGCTGGCCGTCTGCAGGGCTTCGCGCGGCCCAGAGGCTGCTGGCGGCCCTCCGACGGATGCTGTCATCTTCTTCCGCAAGAGGAAGTACGACGGCACGCGCATCCGAGTGACCACCCAGGTCGCTCAGCATTACGACGCCGACACGATCGTAGAGAGATGCGCTGGCACGCGAGAGCTGTTCGTCATCAAAGCTGGTTTCAGTGTTGTGCTTCGCAAGCGTTTTGCTGACAGTGATGATTTCGTCCATATCATTGGAAGCACCCCGACCCACATCAATGTACTAGAGACGCCGAGTGCGGAGATCATCAATGCTTGCTTGCGTCGGCAACTCGACCAGTCGTATGACAAGCTGGCGAATGAGCGAATCCCTCGGCAGGTAGATGTCATAGGGTGCGACGCAGCAGGCAGCAACCTCAAGAATGAACGCATCATGGCGGCTCAGCACCCCCTTCGTGCCCAGATTATTGTTCTCTGCCGTGCCCACAGCAAGAAGAAGGTGGCCGAGCAAGGCTACTCAGTTCTTCGCCCCACGGACAGCAACATGATTCGGTGTCAGTTGAGTTTGTCTTCCGAGCATCTCATCGCTGTGCGGCATAATGCACGGCTTTTGCGCGACGAGCAGGTTGTGGTCCACGTGGGGTCTTGCTCTGCTGAGGCAACAGCTCACAGGGAGAGGGTGTTCGACCTGTACTTCAGCGACACCGCTGATGCGAGTTTACAGTCCAGGGCAGCAGTTTGCAGGAGGCTTTACAACGGTGACATCAGAAAGACTGGCGTGATTGAGCACTATTGCAAGGGGTGCTGCCAGAGCCGTGATCATACAGTGTTTCTTATGCGCCGTTACGGCGTGGCTGCATTGTTTGGGCCCGTGGATGTCCTCAACCGTTCGAATTGGACAAGCAAAATGAAGAGCCACCGTTGTATTGGCCTCCCTGCCGCTGTGCACGGGCTTCTCCAGGCGGCCTTCCTTCGCGGCGTGCCAGAGCCTCCTCAGGCCAAGCGGCGGCGCGAGCAGGCTCTTCAGGCGCGAGCTCAGGCCGAGGCGCTGGCTGCTGCTGGCCACGAGGGGGGTCCCGAACCACTTGGGCCACTCCAAGGTCCTGGGCGCGACCCCGACGCCGACGGCGACGGCGCTGATGAGGTGAGCGCTTGGAGGGAGGAGCAGGACGTCAGGATCGTCAGCACCAGGTCGTGGATGAGCAGCGGCAGGGTGGCTGACGATATGTACATCGCGTCCCGCATGGTATCGTTGACAGATGCTTACTTGCTGAAGCAGTTGGCCACGTCAGGTGTTTCCGTCGAGCGGTTGCAGCAGCTCAAGGTGTCTCGGGGCGAGGCGCGAACGTACCAAGCTTGGCTGGCGCATGAGGACGCGGACGCCAGATCTTTGTTCAAGGACGTTCTCGATGCTATCTTTGATTCGTCAATCTGGGCATCTGTACAGCACCGTTCAGAAGGGGCAGCATTGACAATATATCGGTTGATGTCTAGAATGGGAGCTTCAGCCTATCATTTGGTTTTCAGGAAAAACCTTTGTTGGCCAATGAAGTTGTTTTCAGCTTTGAGGGATCCCGAGATATTGAACGAGCTGGGGCGCACCGAGCCCTGCCTTCTCGACTCATATACCGAGAACTTCTTGAACTTCTATGGGGACGCAGCGGGCTCGGCGACCGCCATGGCCGAGCTCAAGGGCGCCCTCGTCCTCATCGACACGGACACGGCCGACGTGGAGCGTCTGCATTCGGTGAATCAGCGGCATGCTCGTTTCAGGGTTTGGACGCACGTGGAGACTGTTGAGGAGATGAGCGCGCATTTTGCAGCTCATTCTGCCGGGGACATGGGGCCAGCCCCAACACGTCACGACCGCGGCCGCGCTTCGTGCAAGCCCGAGGCGCCGAGGCCACGTCGCCGGCCTGAGCGCGGGCGTTGCGGCCTGCGGTTCTGGATGTGGCGATCGTTCGTGCATGTGAACGGCCGCTGTTCGACAAGGAGACGGCCGTTGCGCTGTCGGAGCAGTTCAGGCAGCTGGATAGCGAGGAGCTGGAGCATTACCGTTTGCTTGCTGTGATCGCCAGGGATCGGCATCGCGATGGGGGGCGCGCTTTCGAGAAGAAGCCTCGCGCCTCCGCAGTTCCAGCGGCAAGTCGCGGCGTGCCTGCGCTTGGGCTCTCGGCACCTCAGCAAGAACGGCCTCGAGACGATGCTGTTCTTGATGAGGGCGGCCGCGAGCAGCCTTCATTCGCAGAGGCGCCCTCGCCGATTTTGGAGGCAGCGTTTGCGGCTAGGCGACGCGCCCTGTCCCTTCGGCGCCAGCGGGCGTCGCATGATGACGTCGTAGCTGGAGTGGTGAGCAGAGCGAGCACTTCGATCAAAGAGGGTCGGAGGACAGCATCCGACGGGACGTTCGCGATCGTGGACACTGCACTGGCACCGACTGGAGATACTCATGTCGACGTTGATGCTGGTACTATTTTACAGTATCGCAGGCGTCCGCAGCTGGTTTCTGATGACACGGTCCTCGCTATCAGCGCCGATGACAAGACGTCTACGGCGCAGATGGCTTCGGCGTGGGAGGCGATGCACCAGACTTTGACGGCTGACAGTTGCCTCCCTTGCGACCCCAAGATCCCCATCGTTCGTCGGAAATGTTATGAGGCCGAGATGTGCATTCACAAGGGTGACGGATTGGAGTTAGCGAAGTTTGAGGCGCACATCAGGTCTGCTTTTACGAGGTGGCGCCATGATGACCGCAAGCAGACCAAGGCCATGCTTACCAAGGGTGAGGTGGTACTTCGCTTCACCTTCGTGACTGTTCGTGCCCCTATCGAGGACTTGCCTGATGTTGAATTGTTCTCCGATGGGCCTCTGCCCGCGGCTGGTGTTGATCATGAGCATCGTTGGTTCCATGTTGCATTCCATTATTCGAAACCCTTCGGACCTACATTTGTTGAGTTGATGCGAGATCCTTCCAGAGATGATTCAGAGGCTCTGGGCGTAACGCCCCTGCGGGCGCATGAGCCTACAGATTTTTCCGTTCGTCGTGGGAGATGGTCAAGTCATTTATGCCCAAGTCTTCTATGACAGTCAGTTTCTGGCAGTTTCTTGGTAGACCCAAGCGTATCCATTTGATTGAGCCTTGGAAGTTGTATGTCAAGAAACTGTCGGACGAGTTCGGGCCCCAGTTGAAAAGGCCCCGCGCTCGGCGGACAGGCCCAGGCCGTCGGGGTCGAGGCCGCGGACGCGAGCCTTCTGGCAGATCCAGGGGGGAGGGCGCGCGAGGCTTTCTGCAGGCCCACCTACGCCTTCGAGCCGATCGGGTTCGCCATCGAGTTCGGCGTCGTCGAGTTCGACGTCGCCGAGCTCTTCTTCGAGCTCGGACTCCGAGGCCGACGACGTTGGCATCCCCGACCCGAACGCGACGTCCTCCGATGACGCAGAGGACTCGGCACATGGCGATGGCAGATCGGATGCCGATGACAACGTGGAGAACGGGGGCGACAGCGACGGCGAGGACGGGGGCCTGTTCATCCCCCTCGACGCCGACGGCATCGACGGCGCAGTCGAGGCTGCCATCGAGTCTGCGATCGGCGTCGCCTTCGGTGGCGACGACGGGCCTCCAGTGCAGCCGTCCGCAGACCCTCCGCCGCCCGACGGGCTGCCTGCGGTCGGTGATGACGCCGCTCCGCCGCCTGATCCAGTGGCGCCTGCGCTGGTGCCGAGGGGCGTCGGCAAGATACCAGCTGCACTGGTCTGGCGCTACAAGAGTGGCGTCATCCGATACTATGACACCACGAAGGTGATGGTGGCGCAGTGTTTTGTGCCATCGCACCAGGTGGAGCCAGGCTGCTACCTCGCGCGGTCGGTGAGGCCCAGCGTTGCCAGCAAGGCCAAGGGCCGTTGCTTGGGCCTGCTCTGCAGCTGGCTGGAGGTCGTGGAGGCGCATGCCATTACGCGCTGGGACCACGTCCACAGCTGGAAACCACCCTGGGAGGATCGGCGGCGTGCGAGGCGGGAGGCGATGGGCCTTGGCCTTGATCTGGTTGCCGCCTTCGCCTCGAAGGAACGAGATGGAAATGATGGTGACCGAGATGGCGAGCCCGTGGGGTTCCCATGATGGGGTTCAGGTGGAGGCTCACAGGAGTTGAGCCTGCCTCCGCCTTGAGCCAAGTAAGAACTCGTACGAGCCAAGATGGCAATACAGTGAGAGGAAGGAGAAGGAGGAAGGTCAACATGGGGCTGGTCCTGTGGGAGGGTGGTCCCAAAACATACATCACACCCCATTGAAACCCCACGGTTCTCAAGAGGGCCGCTCGTCCTACACCCCAGGGCTTCTCCAGGGTTCTGCCCCAGGACCTTCGAAACTACTTCGCGCATCGCCCCCTAGTTTGGCCTTCCAGCCTTCTCCTCCCTAGGGTCAGTGATGTTGGTTGCACGCGGGTGTTATTCACACGCCTTTCGGCTAGCCGCGATGACACGTATGCGACTTAACGCGAGGTGCCGCCGACCTAGAGGAGGAAGCCGACGGCGGCGCCGAGCTGATGGCCCTGCCGAAGGGTCGGGACACCCGAAGGGGGAGGGGAATGACGCGTGAAGAGAATACCGAATAGGATGGGGGGGGGGGCGAGGGGCGACCGACGATGACGGGGGGAAGGGTCAGGATGAGGGGTGGGGAGAAGGAATACAAATGATACTACTGATTCTGTTGAGGGCGGTGGCAGGGGATGGAAGGAGGATGTGGTGGAGGAGCAGGAATAGGATGATGCGAGGGGAAGGAGACCCAGGAGTGGGCCATGAGGACGGATAGGGGGGCCGAGGGACAAGGGGGGCGGAGAAGGATGCGACGCCGTGTTTGGGTTGAAGCGGCGCCTCTTGGACGTTCGTTGGGGGCCTCGTGGCATTGAGGGGGCGGGTGGGCAACGGTGGAGGGGGATCGGGGGGGGTGCTTTCGGGGTGCAGCGCGTGCTTGCGCGTCGCTCCTTAGGCCCAGCTGGCGGCGCTCAATGTTTGAATTGTCGCCTGGGGTTGTCAGTCGGGGCCCCCGCGAGCATCTTGGGGGACCCTTGATAGGTTCCATGGCTCTCGTTGGCCTCATGTGGGCGCTTCCTGAGAGGAGGCCCATGAAGTTTCCTGGCTTGTTCCCTTGTTTCAATGCCACGTGGTGACGCCTGTTGTTGGGACCCAGCGTGGTTCTTGGCGCAGTCTTGGGCGTTGCTGCAGCCGTCTCGGCGCCATTTTGCTCAACCTTGGACACACGTGCGGCATGGCCGCGCATAGGGGGCAGGAGTGCTTGTGCGGATGTGCGTGCGGATGCCGCGGTGCAAGCGACCGCGCTGCCGCGCGTCGTCGCATCGTCGGCGCGACAATGCGGCGCGCTCAGTACGTCGCACGCGCGCAACGCGGCGCATGCCGACGCAGCAGTGCTCATCGGCATGTTGGTCCACGTTGGCGCCGCGACCCATCATGAACAATGGCAATGGGGGGCGTGGGAAGCGGGAGCAGTGCAGGCTATTTCTAACTCTGGATTGGATGGTCTTCCCCAAGGCGACCGTCATTTCTTTCGGGGAGGGGGTTCCCTGCCACCCTCTTGGGTGGCAGAGCGTCCTCCCCTTTTGCCCTGGCATCCTCATGACAGTAGGCCCTGCGTGGCAGGTACCCGACAGGCGCATGCCACGCGGTTCAAGCTACCGAACGGCGGCTCCGATGACGGCCTTCAGCGGAAGCGCTGCTTTCTCGGGTAAGACCGTCGTTCGCGGCAAGGCGCCGCCCTCGGTAGGGGCGGCCGCGCGATACATCGGCGCTGCGCCATGCGACAGGGCTTCGTTTCAATGTGCGGAAGCTTCGTCTGCGTGGGGGGCGCGCCATGGCGCTCGCGTCGCTCCTTAGGTCCAGCGGGCGGCGCTCAATGTTTCAATTGCCGCCTGGGGTTGTCACCCGGGGCCCCGCGAGCATCCTGGGGAACCCTTGATCGGTTCCATGGCTCTCGTTGGCCTCATGTGGGCGCTTCCTGAGAGGAGGCCCATGCAGTTTCCTGGCATGTTTCCTTGTTTCAAGGCCACGTGATGACGCCTGTTGTTGGGGCCCAGCGTGGTTCTTGGCGCAGTCTTGGGCGTTGCTGCAGCCGTCTCGGCGCCATTTTGCTCAACCTTGGACACACGTGCGGCATGGCCGCGCATAGGGGGCAGGAGTGCTTGTGCGGATGTGCGTGCGGATGCCGCGGTGCAAGCGACCGCGCTGCCGCGCGTCGTCGCATCGTCGGCGCGACAATGCGGCGCGCTCAGTACGTCGCACGCGCGCAACGCGGCGCATGCCGACGCAGCAGTGCTCATCGGCATGTTGGTCCACGTTGGCGCCGCGACCCATCATGAGCAATGGCAATGAGGAGCGTGGGAAGCGGGAGCAGTGCAGGCTATTTGTAACTCTGGATTGGATGGTCTTCCCCAAGGCTGCTGTCATTTCCTTCGGGGAGGGGGGTCCCTGCCACCCTCTTGGATGGTAGAGCGTCCTCCCCTTTTGCCCTGGCGTCCCCATGGCAGTGACCCCATCGTGGCAGGTACCCGACAGGCGCATGCCACGCGTTTCAAGCTACCGAACTGCGGTTCCGATGACGGCCTTCAGCGGAAGCGCTGCTTTCTCGGGCAAGGCCGTCGTTCACGGCAGGGCACCGCCCTCGGTAGGGGCGGCCGTGCGATACATCGGCACTGCGCCATGCGACAGGGCTTCGTTTCAATGTGCGGAAGCTTCGTCTGCGTGGGGGGGCGCGTTATGGCGCTGCGGCTTCCCGCGCCAACACGCTGCCGCATCCGACGGTCGCAGTCGCCGCGTTCTGCGGCAGGTGGCAGCCTCGCCGTCGTCGCAATTGTCGCCGTCGCTGATCGTCGTTGGTGTAGGGGCCGCTATCGCGCGGCCTCGCCAGAAAGCCGCACGGCAGCCCGACTGCGGGGCGGCCGCCGTCGCTGGACTGCCCAAGGCGCCCCGCATGGCCCGTCGCAATTCAGGGCCCAGCGCGCGTCAGCCATTGACGCGCGCCAGGCGCGCGCTGCGCCTTCAAGCCCATGACAACCTGCGTGCGCGACAACGAAACCCCCAACAGTAGGTACTTTCAGCCGCGCGCAAGCCGTACCATGCGTCGGCCGACAGCCTCGCCGCAACCTCGCATCCGCCGCGCCCGCGCCACGCCGCTGCCGACGTGGGACCGATGCCGCCGCAGGAGTTTCGCGCCCCCCCCCGAGCGCGCGGCGCGGCGACCGCCGACGTTCAGCCGCGGGGCTCTCGAAAGATGGGCAGGGCGCCCGCCCGCCCGCATCGTGATTGCGCGCCGCGCGCTGCGCGGCGCAACCGCTGCCAGCTGCCTGGAGGCGGCGCAGCGTGATCCGCGGCGGCGCAGTTGCAGGGCGTCGGTTGCATTGGGGGGCGGACGGGCCGCGCGAGCAGCATGCCGCGACAACGCTGGGCTTGCCGCCCGAGAGAATCTGCTACCCCGATTCCTTCGGTGGTGCGGCAGGGAATGGGACAGGAACTTTGTGCCCCGTCGGTGGGGTTTGGCATCACCGAAAGTCATTTCAGCCAGGACGGTGGGCGCATTCAGGCACTGCAGTCGGGAAGGGGCTGGGGCTGGGCGGCGGTGCGGGCCATCGCGCGCCCCGGCGCGTGCCCCGACACGCTCGCGCGAACAACGTCGCCGAACCGTCCGCGGCCATGCGCGCGGGTGCGCAACTTGCACGCGCGCTTGCGCGCCCCTACCGCGCCCGAGCGGCACGGCGCGCAATCGGCGCCACCGCAGCTTCGATCGCGCCGCGAGACCTTCCGTGCGATGCAGCTCCAACGTGCGCGATTGATACGATGGCCGCGGGACGGCACATCAGTCGCGCGCTGCAGCGGGCGCCCGCGGCGCCATCGCCCATAACCCGCCGTGGCGACTGCGGTCGCTGCGCGCGCTGTGGCGAGACATCGGCAGCCGCTCGAAGGGGGCGAGCGCCTGTTCAAGGATGGCGCAGCGCGCAGTGCGGTCGTCGACGCGCCGCGGGCGGCAAGGCTTCTTCGACGAGGGAGAGACGCTCGAGAACAACGCCCAGCTACCGCTCGGGGGCGTCAAGGAGAGCGAGAAGTGCGAGAAGCGCCGCATGCTTCCGTCGGCGAGCCAACGTGGATGCCAGCTCACGTGGCGCGCACGGTATCGGCGGGCAAGTGCATGGCCCAGCGGCGAGCTGCAGGGGTTGGATACGCACGTGGGCAATCAATGCCCATCGCTAGTGGGGCCGCCAAGGGCCCAATGGGCAAACGGTGCCACTCTTCGCGGCATGCGCCCTGATCCAGGGCTGCGGCGACGTCAATGTACCAGTGCAGCGCGAGAAGGTGGCGGTCTGTGACAGCCGCGGCTAGCGCAGCGGCAACGCTGGATGACCCCCTCCATCTGCGCACGCCAGGCTCGCCGCGTCTGGCACAGCCAGCTGCGTCGTCGGACCAGCTCGCTTCCCCTCCCACCACCCCCTCCACCCCGCCGCACGCGCCTCGCGACGCACGCTGCCGCTGCCCACTCTAGGGGGCATCGCAGACCGCCTTCTGGCGGGGAGAGCACGTGGCGGCGGCCATCGAACCCCCATGGCAGTTTTTCCACACCAGGATCGACGTCATCAAAACCCATCGACCCCCCCATCGAAACCCCATCAAACCCCCATCGAAACCCCATCGACCCCCCATCGGAAACCCACCGCCCGCAACACCATCAAACGTCATCAAACGTCATCAAACGTTATCAAACGTCATCAAAAGTCATCACCGATTCCGACGGCGCGCGGGGCGGGCATCAAAACCCATCACCGAAGGTCATCAAACGTCATCAAACGTCATCAAAAGTCATCACCGATTCCGACGACGCGGGGGGGGGGGGCATCAAAACCCATCGAAAGGTCATCGGACCCTCTACGCCAGGGGGGAAAGCCCGCTCGCGCGGCCATCCGACCCCCCTGCACCCACCCTGTCTCCCCCCCGCCCCCCCTCTCTCCCCCCGATCCCCTCCCCCCGCCCCACCCGCATCCGACCCCGCTCTGCTGCGCGTCGAGGGGCAGTCGGGGCTCGGCGTGCGCGCCTCCTGGGGCAGCAGGCGCGCGCCGCGGC